CCAGTTTGTAGAAGAAACTGCATGCTTATTACCATGAAAAGCATAATTGCTAACTTTTTTTCTTTATTGTTACAGTAAAGAACATAAGCTTGAAAAAGGGCATTCTTGGGGTAGTCCCAGAGACATGGAAGAGGGGTACAGACTGACAATCCCCAGAAGAGGGGGTGATGGGGGAGAGATAAACCACAGAACTTATATGTATGTATGCATGAACAGTGGACATGGACAACAAACTGGGGACAGGGCAGGAAGGGGGGGGGGATCAGTGGGGGGAAAAGGAGAAACATCTGTAACAAAAATTAATTAATAAAAAAAACTTTTCTTCTAAAAAAAGGGCATTCTTTATCACACCAAAATAATTGCACACAAATTGCATGGCCATGAAATTATTTTATTAATACCTGCCCTTAAGGCAGCTGTAGATTATAAATGACAAGTTTATATTTATATAAAAATCACTTTTGCAATATTTCTGTACTTTTATTAAAAATAAACCTACCACCACTCTTTCTACACAAGTAGCAACATGTTCCAGTTAAAAATTGATATAATAGCCCGGCCAGTGGGCTCAGTGGATTGAGAATTGTCCCACGGACTGAGAGGTCCCAGTTCAATTCCTGGTCAGAGCACACACCCAGGTTTCAGGCTCGATCCCCAGTAGGAGGCATGCAAGAGGCAGCTTCTTGATGGATCTCTCTCACATCGACGTTTCTATCTTTCTCTCCCTTCTTCTCTCTCTAAAAAAATCAATGAAAACATTAAAAATAAATAAAAACTGATATAATAAATAATTACTTCATGAAAGTCATACAGTTTGCATATAGTTTTGATGCCACATTGTAGAAAAAAAGTATTCTTGTGGTATGCAAAATAGCAAAAAATATCACAAATACATTTTAATTAGCCTTACCATGGAAAGCCAATAATATATATAGCCCAGGATTTAAAAATCAGAAGTATGGATTTAAGTTAAAGATAAATTTATTGACATGTTTTCAATATCAGTTGACTTATTTGTTAAACAAAGATAAGGTATGATTAAATACGAAGATATAAATTTAAAAACAAAAAAAAACACGCCCTGGCCGGTTTGGCTCAGCGGTTGGAGCATCCACCTGCGGTCCGGAGAGACCCAGGTTCGGTTCCCGCTAAGGGCACGTACTTCGGTTGCAGTTTGTCCCAGGCCCTGGTTGGTCATGCAGGTGGCAGCCACTCGACGTGTCCCTTTCATATTGATGTTTCCCCCTCTCTCTCTTCCTCTCTCTCCCTCCCACTCTATCTGTACAAAAAATGGAAAAATGTCCTCGGGTGAGGATAAAAACAAAAAATAACAAAAAAACAAGACAGTTTTTACACCAGACAGAACTGCCTTCGAATCCTGGCTTCATCATTTACTAACTTCATGGACCATGGGCAAAATCATTTATTAAAAAACAAATCTGTTACCCTGGCTGGTTTGGCTCAGCGGTTAGAGCATCAGCCTGCAGACCAGGGAGTCCTGGGTTCGGTTCTCGCTAAGGGCATGTACCTCAGTTGCAGTTTGTCCCCGGCCCCAGTTGGGGTTGTGCAGGTGGCAACCAATCAATATGTCTCTCACGTTGGTGTTTCTCTCTCTCTTTCTCTCTCCTTCCCACTCTATCTGAAGATAAATGCAAAAATATGCTCGGGTGAAGATAAAAAAAAAAATTTGTTGAATAACTATTTTAATAACATGTCTATGTTATGGAGTGATCATAGGATTAAATGTGTGTATGGAAAGCATAATAAGAACTACATAAAAGGTAATATTTATCAGTGTTCCTCATCTGAAAAGTATTCATAGCAATATTTTTTTTCTAGAGTTGTGAAGACCAAATGAGACCATGTGTGCAGAAGTATTTTAAAAAACATAAAGCAAAAAAAAACCATAAAGCAAAATGCATCTTTAGATTTTTTTCATTATGTGCCTTTCTAGATTAGTTCAGTAACCAGTGGACACATACTCAAAAGTGCTACATAGAGCTGACCTTAATTTAACTAATTCAATGTTTTAAAATATTTTCTATGTCAGAAGCAACTTATTAGCAAATGGAGGATATGTTTGTTTTGATGTGCTCTCTAATTTCTCTACACATATGTTAAACTTTTCATAAAACTTTACCTCAAAACATAACTCTTGCACAGCTATGTCTGTGTACTCTTGCTTAGTTTCAGAAATATCTTAAAGATTGTGAAGTTTAAGTCTAAACAATCTAAAAGCCTAAATTGAATAATAATATTCATTTTATTCACTTTTCTTCACTACCATAACAATTAAGAGAGCTGAGAGTCGTTTATTACCTGAAAAAAAATAAACAGGTAAATTTTAACTATGATTACATAGTGATGCAGGCATGGCTCCCCTACACATGAGCTCATTAAATCTGTTTGCTAAATCTTAAGGACTGTTTCTCATAACTACAAAGCATAACAGACTTTTTAAAAATCTTGCATGATATTATTACATGCAATCAGTAGGATACAGTATTAGATTCATAATAACACCTATGACCTTTTCTATAGCTTTCAAGGTCCCAAAATAATTTTAAATTTCTGGGAAGAATCCTAATAAACATTGTTCAGGGAACAGGCCTTTCTGTGAGATAACTTTCTAGCTGCCTTAAGCTGAATTTTAAAGAGCTTATTTTTATTTCAAAACACAGATTTCCCAAGTGTAGTGTATGTCTCTTATATACTTAAATATGGTGGATGACTATAAGTTAGTCTTATCTTATTCAATCAATAGTTATAATGAACAGCAAAAGGGCAAAGGCCGAAAGGGCAAGTATACTCTTTGAAATATGTTGAAAATAGCCCTGGCCAGTGTGGCTCAGTTGGCTGGATGTTATCCCATGTATCAAAAGCTTGGTAGTTTATGGCACATGCCCAAATTATGGGCTTTATCCCAGGTAGGGGGTATGCAGGAGGCAGCCAATCAATGTTTGGCCCTCATATCCATGTTTCTCTCTCTCCCTCTCCCTTCCTCTCCCTCTCTCTAAAAAAATCAATAAAAAATTTATTTATTTATTATTTATTTATTTTGTTTTAAAAAAGAATTGTTTATTTACTGAACCTGGGGCAGATAGATATACAACAAATTTTAAATTTACGTATTTTAATTCAATTTTGAAGTGTTTTCTCACACACGTGAAAAAACTAGCATGTAACAGTTGTCCGAATGTAAAACATATCACCTTCAACTGCTGCCAAGTATTTTCTTTTTTTTTTATCCTCATCCTAGGACATTTTTCCATTTTTTTGTTCAGATAGACTGGGGTGGGGAGAGAGCAACATCTACATGAAAGGGATACGTCAAGTGGCTGCCTTCTCACAGGACCCAACCAGACCAGGGCCGGGGACAAACTGCAACCAAGGTACGTGCCCTTAGCGGGAACCAAACCCGGATCTCTCTGGACCGCAAGCCAACGCTCTAACCACTGAGCCAAACCGGCCAGGGCGCTGCAAGTATTTTCACCCAAAGTTGAAAAATTGTTTATTCTGAACATGAAAACTTGTAACAAATTTAAGTTAATTATATAAAACTCATTACTGTAGTTTTACCTTTGCAAAAATTTTTTTTTTTAAAAATGTACAAGTAACTAATATACATCAGTCACAACATAATCCTGGACCATCGCAACACCAAACTAGATGCTCCTTCAATTTTAAACACATCATCAGAAACCTAGAGAGTCATTTCGTTTTATACAAAACAAAATTTACATGTGCCAGAAAAGACCCAAGAAAAACAAAAACAAAAACCCTCGTACTGACAGTGCTGTCAGTACCCTAATTAATGAGTGGTCAAATGCCACTGACCAAAAACAAAACAGTGGCTGTCTATTACTGACTGCAAAGAAATCCAAGAGGCTTGCCCTGCGCCGTCGGAAACCCAGATTTTTTTAGTGATGTGAATGCAGACCTCCTACGGGCCAAGAGTGGAGGAAGTGTAAGCCAGCACAGAAAGAAAACACTACCATTAGCTGAAACACCATAAAATTGGCTTAAATAGAGACTTCTTACAAGGTTAGGCAGAAATAAAAAAAAAAAAAAAAAGGCTTATTAGCTGCTGTGTCATCAGTTTAGTAAAGTGAAGTCCTAAAGTTCAAAGTAAAAATTTAGGGGGGAAATGTTAGGTTGTCTTACCATTTTTTTTTTTTTAATTAAAATTTTTTTTTTCTTTTATTGATTTGAGAGAGAGGAAGGGAGAGGGAGAGATAGAAACATCAATGAGAGAGAACATCAACTGGCTGCCTCCTGCATGTCCCCCACTGGGGATTGGACCCAGAACCTGGGCATTTGTCCTGACTGGGAATCAAACCAACAACCTCCTGGTGCATGGGTCGACTCTCAACTGCTGAGCCACACCAGCCTGATGGGTTGTCTTATCTTTAAAGCAAAAAAAAAGACAGACAAAGTATAAAAGAAGCAACCTGGCAACACACTCCGAAGTCACAGAGCTCTGCCATTAGGTGGGTAGAACATGTCCAGATTCAGACTTGTTTCTCCTAAGAACTAAACAAAGTGAATCTTTGATAACTTGAACTGCAGGATGAGGGGGTCAAGAGAATGGAGTCATTTTTGTAACGTACTATCCTGAACAAACTGCATTTTATTATGAAAACGAAAGAAAATATAATAAGGACTATATGCCTACATTTCATTTACAGTGTTAAAGCTCTGGAAGGGCCTGTATGATGGAGGCAGAATTCAAATAGAAATTGTGCCGATCAAATGTCAAATTTTCACTATCACTCTCCTAAAAAGGTTTTCTCCCAATATCTATTAATCACAAAGAAACATAGTCTGTGAATGTACAATTTTGAAAATAAAAACATACAAACCAATGATATTATTATGACCAAGATGTTTGGTAAACAGTGAATTATGAGTTTCGGATCATCAGAAAAAGGCTTTTAAACAACCCTCCGGACTTCAAAAAAATCTCATTCGGTAATAGATCTGTTCCAATGCCATGGCAACTAGAACAAGAACTTCCAAGAAGGACCGAAGACCACTCTGCTGTCTGTGTTGTCGTTGACTGCTCTGTGTATCCTCTCTCGAACGTCCATGTTCTCCTGCTCAGGCTTCACGGCGGTCATCGCCACTGCTAGCTCATTAATCATCTCTTCTAGCTTGTTCTGGTGAGCTTGTGTTTCCATGTCTTGTCCTTTTGGGGCCTCCCCAGTATCAATGGTGAACATCACTCTCTTTGGAGTCATGCCGGACATCCTACTGCTAAAACAAAATTTATATGTTCCATCCATGTGAGCAGAAAATGTGTATTTCCCACTGGATTCCCGGGCTCCTTTATAAATTCCTTTATTATCAGGTCCTGTAATCTCCACGTCGATGTTCAGGAAGCCGCCCTCGGCCACCTGGAAGATGAGGCCCATCTTGGTGCCCGCGGTGACCTGCTCGAAGAAGCACTCCTCGGCATGCACGACGATGCTGACAAAGTAGCCCGAGGCCGTGGCCAGGACGGCGGCCAGGAGTACCAGCGGTCCAGCGAGCGTCACCATGCCGCGGCCAAAGCCAGGAGCCGGACTGCCGCCGCCGCCGCCGCCGCCAGCGCGGACACCGCAGCCGCCGCCGCCACCGCCTGAGCCCCGCCCCCTCCGGCTGCGTAAAACATTTTGAAAATATTAATCTCTTTTGCTTTTCCATGACCTATTTGTGTGGTTTGATTTTTTAAAATTATTCCTTTTCGTTCACAGTTAAGCGATCCTTATCTAGATGGTGAGATTCTAAAGAGCAAGAGTCTCTCAATCGTCATGGATCTCCCCACCGCACACCAGGGCCTGTCTCTTATCCCTCTACCACCTGCAGCTACCGAGTTCTTCCTAATCCAGTTTTCTTATTTACTATTACAAGCTTCTGTGAGCTGGGAAACTGTCCCATCAGACTTTCAGGAACTTTGCTCAAGATTAGACGAGACTCTAAGACAGTGTCTGAGATTTTTTTCTTTTAGTATATGGACCTCCTGACCTCAGTACTGACTCCCACATTCCTAGAAGCCTTCTGGATAGCTGAAGTTGCCACATTAATGAATGCATTTGCGTTCAGGCAGTTTAAGTCATACGGGTTAGTTGCACACATACCTGGTTTGTTTAGATGTTACAGGTACTTTGTAAAGTAAATAATGCTGTATTGGCTGCCTGAGCTCGGAAGTATTATCTTTGAAATTTAATTTAAATAAAGCAATAAATAATCTAGATAGAACTAGGAATTTTTTATTCCAATAACAACATTGCATATTTTCATTTATCAAATACTTGATTTTTCAATACTTTGCAACAAAGTACAATGCTCCTTCTGATTTTTAAAGACATAATCAAAGGAAAGGCACACATTCATAGCTTTTCACAGACTTTTACTGCACTGGATCAGAGCTAATACCTTAATACTGAAGAATCCTTGGGAATTGATTGCCCTGTTCCCTTATTAGACATAAGATGTAATACACCACATAAAAAGTTGACGGTGTTTCTTTGTTATTCAGACTAAGGCACATACAGCATTATTGATTACTATCTGGATTTTGACCAGCATTAGTTTTCAGTGCTGAAACACAATATTTCTTGCTTAAAGTTTTGGCATATAACAATTACATATTATACTACAAGATATATATCCTACTTACTGTATATACATACACACACACACACACATATCTTACTTTTCAAGAAGCAATCTACATGTTTTATAAATAACATTATTCAGTTAGATGTTGACCTTGAAGATGTATTCCTTTCCACCTGACTCACTTTTTCAAACATTTTTTGTAACAATTTTTCTAAGTCTCCATAGCTTCAGCATCCCCACCTACTGATTTCTTAAATAAAAGTATTTTAAAAGCAAAATATTTTTCAATTTTGCAACTGAATCTTCATTTGATACTTTGTATTTTTCTCAAAAAAAAAATTTTTTTTTTTGTCCTTCCGTTTGTCTTATTTTAGGATTGCTTTTTCTTCCTTTCTGCTGTTGGTTCCCATAAAGTGTCTACATATGGCTGTGTAAGTCCTTGGGGATCAAGTTGAAATGTTAGGATACCCTGTTGGAGATAATCCTGTGAGAGAGGAAAGGCTAAACTCATGAGTTTATTCACTCATTTATAAAAATCCTAGAAGAAGTCTTTTTGTTTTTGTTTATTTACCAGGCATTTTCATTATAAAAGTACAGTTTCTTTGTCTCAAAACTGAAAATTTTATAATAATGAGTTGAGGTCAAGGAGAACAGCAAGTAGATAAATATATATATATATATATATATATATATATATATATATATATTAAAAAGCCCTTATGAAGTCTGATGCAACCCCTCCAATGATCTTTATCATGGGTAACATTTAAAAATTTGTGGTTTTCTAATTCTGTGTGTATTTGGTCCCCTTATTCCAAGAAGCAGAGAATAAAACTTTGTTTTAGCTTTGTCTACCAGGAGAACTCGCACTACAGAGTCAGCAGCTTTAGACACACCTTGGACTTAAGCCATCAGTAGCTTAAGAAATTGCTCCATTAGGAGACATAGATGATGTTTCGTATAGAGTTGGAGACATCAAATAAATTTTAAGAACTACATATTCGCCAAAGCTTCAAAGTTCTTATACTTCACTAACACTAACTCTCCAAAAGAAAAATCAACATATTTAGTTTTGATTTCTCCATAGAGTTACAAATATGTAAATTATGTCATTGAAATTTCCACTTGGATGTCTAATAGTAATCTCAAACATAAATGTCCAAAACTGACTCTCATTTTAAATATTTACTTGACTACTCATTCTTTTTTTTTTTTTTTTTTTTTTTTTGCCTCCCCTCATGGAATATAAGCTTAATGAAATCATGGACTTAATTTGTCTTATTGACCCTGTATCCTCATGCTTAATTGAATTCCTGCCCATATACTAGCTGCACAATACATATTTTACATCTGTAGGTTAATAAATGGTAACAGAACACAATATGTTATTCACAGAGGACCAAAAGCAACACACTTGGAAAAATCCAGTAAGTGGTAAATATTAAATCAAACATAAACTACCAATTTCTACTACCTAGTTTGAAAAGGTAGAAAAGCAAGTAATTGAGTCTAGGACACAAAAGTTGTTCACTAAATATATGTTTAACAAATAATTCTGAAATTGCTGTGGAACAATAGATAGTATTTGGTAGTGGTTATACAAAATAATTTGGCATCAAGGAACAAGAACTTTGAAAGAATTCATACTCCTTGTACAATTATTACAAAGCATACATAGTATATATTCTAAAGAACAGAAAGAATTGTGTATCGGAATATTTGTTGCAGCATTACTTTGCAAAATACAAAAATAATTCCAAATTTACAACAATAGCAGATGATTAAATAAGTTGTGGTATGTAAATATATGTGTAACAAAATATATTCATGAAAAATGTGTTCCCAATTCCAAATAAAATAGCATTTTATTTTATACTATTTCTATAAGAAATTTTTTAAATATCTAAAATATAAGGACATTTATCATGTTCACTGAAGAAAAAGAAAGAGTGAGAAAGTAAGAAAGAAAGGAAAAGGGAAGGAATGAAGGGTGGGAGGGAAGTGAGTGGAGGAAGGAAAGAAGTAAAAGAAGAATAAAAAGACAGGGAAAAAAACAAGAAAATAAATGAAATGAGAATAGCCATCACTAGAGGGGAAAAACAGATTACACCATACCATAAAATATTTGGCAGCCTTTTCCAAATATAAACTAGAACTATCAATTGAGAAATATTATCAAAGTACAGTTGTGTGAGAAAAACAAGGTAGAATATATATTACAAGATCCCATTGTGTCAAACAAAAATAAGCAAAAACTGACTAATAATCCTCAAAACTATGTGTGTGTTTATATATCAGTATGAATGTATAGATATAAAAATGATGCCCGGCCTGTGTGGCTCAGTGGATTGAATGATGTCCCATGGACTGAGAGGTCCTGGTTCCATTCTCAGTCAGGGCATGTGCCCAGGTTGCGAGCTTGGTCCCCAGTAAGGAGCGTGCAGGAGACAGCCAAACCATGGGTTTTTCTCACATCGATGTTTGTATCTCTCCCTCCCTTCCTCTCTCTCTAAAAAAGTCAATAAAACAATTTTTTTTAAGTATGAGAATGAAACATAAAGATGCATAAATGTGGTTAACATGAGGAATTTGGTAGGAATGAAGCAAGGGACAGAGGGGAAGCAGAATGCCAAACAAAATATGAAAAGAAAGAAATAAAGACTGCTCATATCAGAAAGAAAACAAGGAAAATAATAAATTATTTAAAATAACCTTTAGGTCTGGCTGGTGTGGTTCACTGGTTGAGTGTAGGCCCATGCACCAAGAAGTCACCAGTTCAATTACCTGTCAGGGCACATGCCCAGGTTGTGGGCCAAATCTCCAGTGGGGGGCATGCAGGAGGCATCCAATCAATGTTTTCTCTCATCGATGTTTCTATCTCTCCTTCTCTCTTCCTTTCTCTCTAAAATCAATTAAAAAAATATTTTTAAAATAAATTAATTAATAAAATAACATTTAGTCCTAAGGAAAAATAACAAGTCAAATAAAATAGCAATATAAAAATGTTACATATACTGAATGACCCAAATTTTATGACTATATTTAAATGAACATGTATATATAAAATTGTATGTTATTTTAATGTTTTTATTGATTTTTTTTTTTTTTTTTTTTGATATTTTGTTCAGATAGAGTGGAAGGGCAAGAGAGAGAAACATCGATGTAAAAGGGACACATTGAGTGGTTGCCACCCACACGACCCAACCCGGGCGTGGGACAAACCGCAACTGAGGTATGTGCCCTTAGCGGGAGCCGAACCCTGGTCTCTCCAGATCACAGGCCAATGCTCTAACTGCTGAGCCAAACAGGCCAGGGCACGTTTTTATTGATTTTTTTAAAGAGAGAGGAAGAGAGAAAGATAAACAGAAACATTGATGTGAGAGAAAAACATCAATCTGTTGCCTCCTGCACACCCCCTACTGGGGATGGGGCCTGCAACCCCAGCATGTGCCCTGACTGGGAATCAAACTGGGACCTCTCAGTCCATGGGATGACAGATGCTCAATCCACTGAGCAACACCATCTGGGCTGAAATTGTGTTTTAGAAAACATTTATATATAACATGTATAAAGTATCTGTGAAACAAAAATGATAGAGTATCTATAACAATGTTTTTGTACTAATATCACAGTAATGTTTATTTTCTAATATATAACATATTTGCTTGTATAACTAAGCATTTTTATAATGTAAATTTAAAATCTCAATAGGTTTTTGAAGTCAGATAAAATATACAATAAGATAAATTTTGCAGTACATAAGATAAAAAATGCAATGTAATGAAAAGAAAAATGACTTTGGTGTCACAGACTGAAAGTCAAATCTTACTAAGTAATGTAAGTAAATATGGGCCAACTTTTTACTTCTTTAAGCCCCGCTATCTGTTTCTATAAAATAGATGTAATAATAATAGCATTGCAAAGGTCATTATAGAGA